TTGTATAATTCTTTTACCTCCTTGGTTAGATTTATTCCTAGGTATTTTATTACTTTGGGTGCTATTTTAACAGGGATTGTTTCTTCACTTTCTTTTTCTGTTGATTCATCGTTAGTGTAAAGAAATGCAACTGATTTTTGAACGTTAATCTTGTAACCTGCTACATTGCTGAATTCTTCTATCAGCTCTGTTAGTTTTTGTGTGAATAGATTTTCTCTATTGAATTCCTGTTTTCTATTTGATTGATTTCTGATCTATTATTATTTTATCTTTTCTTTTCCTTACTTTAGATTTAATTTGGTCTTCTTTTTCTCGTTTCCTAAGGTGGAAGCTCAGATGATTGATTTTAGATCTTTCTTCTTTTCTAATATATGTTCTCAATGCTATAAATTTCCCTCTAAGAATGGCTTTCCCTGCATCTCAAAATTTTAAAGGTGTTTTGTGTTTATTTCCATTTAGTTCAAATATTTTACATTTTCTTTTGAGACTTTTTTCTTTGACTCGTGATTTTAGAGGTATGTTGTTTAATCTCCAAGTATTTTGGAATTTTCCATCTACCTTTCTGTTATTGATTTCTAGTTTAATTTCATTGTGGTCTGATAGCATACATAGTATAATTTTTATCTTTTAATGTGTTAATTTGTTAAGATGTGTTTTATGGTGCACAATATGATCTATCTTGGTGAATGTTGCATGTGAGCTTGAGAAGGATGTGTAATCTACTGTCATTAGATGAAATGGTCTATACATGTCAATTATATCCTAACATTTAATTGATGGTGCTGTTGAGTTCAACTATGTCATTACTGATATTTGGCCTACTGAATCTCTCCACTTTTGATAGAGGGGTTTAAAGTCTCTATAATGGTCAAATCAACTATTTTTCCTCACAGTTCTGTCAGATTTTGCTTTATTATGACACTCTGTTGTTAGGCTCACACACATTAAGTTTATTATGTCTTCTTGGAGTACTGACCCCTTTATCATTGTGTAGTGCCCCTTCTTTAACCTTGATAACTTTCATTGATCTGAAATCAGCTGTGTCTGAAATATAGCTACTCTTACTCTTTTTTTATATACATATAAACTTTTTTTATTGAGTTATAGTCATTTTACAATGTTGTGTCAAATTCCAGTGTAGAGCACAATTTTTCAGTTATACAAGAACATACATACATTCATTGTCACATTCTCTTTCACCGTGAGCCACCAGAAGATCCTGTATATATTTCCCTGTG